GTTGCGCAAAGCGTTAGATTCTCTCACAGCCCTGCAGTATGACAATAAAAGAAAGCTGATATGTGTTATTTGCGATGGAGTTATCGTGGGCCAAGGCAACGACCGCCCAACACCAAAAATTGTTCTAGATATTTTGGGTGTAGACCCCAAAGTCGACCCCCCCGCACTACCCTTCAAGTCAGTTGGCCCCGGTAGCGAGCAGCTCAACTACGGTAAGGTGTATTCAGGTTTGTACGAATACGAAGGCAATGTGGTCCCATACCTTGTTGTAGTCAAGGTTGGCAAAGAATCTGAGCAGGGCAAGACGAAACCTGGCAACCGTGGCAAGCGAGACTCCCAGATTCTCCTCATGAGCTTCCTCAACAGAGTTCATCATCGGGCTCCCATGAATCCTCTAGAACTCGAAATGTTTCATCAGATCAATAACATCATTGGTGTGGACCCCGAGTTATACGAGTACATGCTCATGGTGGATGCCGACACGTCTGTGAGCGAAGATTCTCTCAATCGGCTTGTGTCTGCTTGTGCCAACAACGCCAAGATTGCCGGCATTTGTGGCGAGACTAGCCTGGAAAATGATGAGAAGTCTTGGACAACCATGATTCAAGTCTATGAGTACTTTATTTCTCATCACCTTGCTAAGGCGTTCGAATCCCTTTTTGGCAGTGTTACTTGCTTGCCGGGATGGTATGTCCACGTCTGAGACTGTCTTCGAATGACAAAATTCTTTACTAACGAGATGCCATCTAGTTTCACAATGTATCGTCTTCGAACCGTCGACAAAGGCAAACCTCTGCTCATCTCAGATGCTGTAATCAAAGAGTATGCCGTCTGTGATGTTGATACTCTACATCAAAAGAATCTGCTGTCTCTGGGTGAAGATCGTTACCTCACCACACTGATGACAAAACATTTTCCATACATGTCTTACAAGTTTATTGGGGACGCCCAATGCAAAACTGCTGCACCTGAATCATGGAGCGTTCTTCTCTCTCAGCGTCGTCGCTGGATCAACTCTACAATTCACAACCTGGTAGAGCTGATGCGCTTGAAGGAAATGTGCGGCTTTTGTTGCTTCAGTATGCGCTTCGTCGTTTTTATTGATCTGTTTGGCACCATCATTTTGCCAGCTACATGCGTGTACCTTGGCTATCTAATTTACCGTGTGGCCTCACATACTGGACAGTTCCCGATCATTTCCATTGCCATGTTGGCAGCAGTGTATGGTCTGCAAGCACTAGTCTTCATCCTCAAGAGGCAGTGGCAGCACATTGGCTGGATGATTATCTACATTATTGCGTTCCCTATATACTCTTTCATTCTTCCGATTTATTCATTCTGGAATCAGGACAACTTCTCTTGGGGCAATACTCGTGTCGTTATTGGAGAAAAGGGAAATAAGCAGGTGGTTGCTGTTGACGACGAAGGATTCGATCCTCGATCCGTTCCTTTGCAGAGATGGGACGACTACGCCCTCGCCAATAATCTTCCCGGTCGTCGTGGTGGATATCAAGAGAAGCATGATTACGGTTATCCTGATCAGTACGAGATGGATGAAATAAAGTCGGTCTACTCTGCCGCTCCTCAAGGCTCGGTCTTGACTGGAATGGGCGGGCGCAACACATATATGCCACCTCAGTCTCCCGCTCCCTTCAGCAACATGAACCGTGCTCCCACGATGCAGGGCCAGTATCACGATGCCCCTGCCTCCATCCGCAGGCAATCGATGATGTCTCTCGGGACCCAAATGCAGGACATGCATCGTAGTCAGTCGCCGTACCAAGACTTCCCTGCAAACCGTGGTAGCGTCATGAATTTGCGTGGCCAGGGAAGCATGACTCCTTCTCTGGGCATGGCAGGAAACAGAGCGTCATCCGCTATGGGCTACACGGGTGGTCATCGTCCACCCATGGGACCGGATGCAATGCAATCCACGACCTCATTTGACTTCCAACGCGGCCACGTCGGCGCGGACGACACAGCCATTGTGGACGCTATCCAGTCTGTGCTTCACGAAATTGATCTTGACACAGTGACCAAGAAGCAGGTCCGCGCCCTTGTTGAGCAGCGTCTGCAAACAGAGCTGACAGGCGAGAGACGCACATTTATGGACCGACAGATTGATCGCGAGCTTGAAAACATGTAATACCTCAAAGTTTCTTGCGTGGTCTAAAGGGGTGCATAGTCAGGTCAAAATGGGCAACTCCGGGGGCGTAGTCTTTTTTTTGCTTTTGTACATGGTTAATTCTAGTCACGACACAGAACTATAAGCGAGCGAGTGACGTTGGGCAGAGCAATGTGCAAACAAGACTCGAGAAATTGCTCGTTTTTTTTTGTTATTTGATGTTTTGGTAACTGGCGTTAGAGTCTTGGACAAATAATATTTGTTGATTATACATGGCCATTACTGAGAATGGCTCGGGTTTTTTTTTCCATAGCTTCATTAATACTTGATGGCATGCAATAAATATTGAGATAATCTAATTGAAATGGGAGTTTAGAGGACTCAACGTCATCGCGCGCGTGCTCACGCACGCGCACACGTTCGTAAATAAAATAATGAGTATTCGGCGAACTAGTTGTCAGTAAACAGATGTTATTAGTGTTGTGACACCCCGATCCGTACCTTTTATGTTTTACCATCAGGATCAGTAGTGCATGTGGACGTTTCTATGGACAGTTTTCAATATTCTTCATCGAGAGCGCTTATATAGACTATTATTATAGCATTTGGCAGTACCCTATTTGGAGCCACGGTATCCGTGATTGGATCCTTGGTAGGTTGGGTTGATCTTTATTCTCCCATGTCCTTCTGTTCAGATGCCCCGTGAACGCCTCAGTTGAGATTTCCCACCCCCTTGAGTCGCAGGTACACGTCTGTGCCCCAGCCGTACAAGCTCTGGACGGCAATACCTCCGCCAAAGTACTCGGCGTAAGCACGACTTAGGGGCAGACCATATCCCAGGCCAGCAATCGAACTTCCCCCCGTGCTGGCAGTGGCGATGGCACTGAGACCATCGCCGCCAGTGTTCCCTCCTGACCCGGGGAAGCCGTCGTCGTCGGAAAATGTGGTGAATGAGTAGGACCATATATTGGGCAGAACGTCTGGAGAAATGCCGCCGCCTCGATCTCGGATGCGGATTGTGACTCCTGGCGCGTTATCGTCCAAGGGTTTAATGGCGTCGCTGCGGAATTGGCCTCGATCTGTGTTTGGCTGCTTGATGAGTGGTGCGCCGCCGGGTTGTTCTTTGAGGGGTGGTTCGGGTGCGATGGTGACAACAACGGGTTCACGAGCCCGGCTTTCTACAGTGGCACGGAATGCATTTTTAAGTAATTCAGTTACAATGTATTCGAGGTGCATGGGCACAAAGGCGAATGTAGTGTCCGGCTCGCCGTCGACGTAGATCTGGGGTCTGGAACCATAACGTAGCTCGCAGATGTCAGCTACAAAGCCGGCGCAGGAATCAATGGTGAGAGATGGCTTCAGGGCGGTGTCAATGACGCCAATGTATGACGGGTGTTCGGGGCACGGCGTCGGGCTGTCCTCGGGTGCAAAATGAGGCTGACTACTGAAATGGAGGGCAATGTGCTGCTCGCCAACTAATCTTGTGCCGATTCGTGCGCGTAGATGCTCATCCAGGAAGCGCGTCACCTCTGCTGGCGAGATATATCTGCGGCATTCCAGAAAGCCTTTGGCGAGGATGGGTATGGTATCGGTGTGGGTGGCAACGAGCTCTGCCAGGACGTTTGTGAACTCGATTTCATCCTGGAGGGTGGTGATGGGATGGCCTTGGCTTGCGGCATGCCAATACGGCAGGAGAATTGATAGTGAGTGGAGGTAGTTGTTGTAGATGCGGGAAATGTTGGGGTTGGAGACGACGATATAGGGGAGATTTCGGAGGGCTTGAATTCGTCTTGCGAGACGGATGGGGAGGAGCGAGAGTGTGAAGTTGGCGGATGACAACAGGGACTTTTCGGATAGTGGCGGTCGTCCGTGTCTGGAGAAGACAAAGGTGCGTTGTTAGCTACGTGCCGTGGACGTGTGGATGGGCAGGTATTCCATCTGCATGGCCTGCTGGACTTGGGAAGCCAGACGGGCCAGCGATACAAGGGAGCAGGCATACTTGACTAGATCTGCGAGGCTGAGGGAATGTTGGTGTTGTCTCGCCAGGGCTGCAATCTCCGCATCAGACACGTTCTGTGGTGCGTACCGCAGGAGCCTTGATGCATGGAGTGCTCGGCGCTGTATATAACGTGGCTGGGGGTAAGACGGCGGAGGGCAGGAGCGGCAGAGCCTCAATGGCGACGATGCCAAAGTCCGCATTGCAGCATGGCGTCGTGCGATGCCGCAAGAAACGTCGTGAGGGGAGATGTCGTGAGGACGATGGCGTGGACCGGGGGGGGGGCCAATATGGGCAGTAATATGGTGGAATTGGCGTCACAAATGAAGGTCGATTGACGTTGTTTGTCGCCGGTTGGACAATGTAGCTGGCCGGCGCGGGTGGCCGCTACTCCGTAGTCTGTCTGGGGTGCGAGGCTGTCACTGAAGGAGCAAGCAGTGAAGATGGCTTAAGGGTGGTGTTATTTTGTGTACGTAGTAGTTGTCATTATTTGATTCCATCCATCATTCGCCGTGGGCCGCGGCCAACCGACATGCTCCCAATGCAAAGCACTTGGGTACGTCCCGCGCATGTGAGGGGAAAGTGACAGGGGTAACCAGCGACGCCATCGACGACGAGGGCGCCGATGCTTCATTGGCACTTGGACAGCCTCGTGTGAGGATTGACTTGTTTACAACACAGACGTAGTTGCGAATAATTGTTCCGACACGCATCTTCAAAATTCATCTATCGTAGCATGGCAACGGGACAAAACGCCCAAGTGGCACAAGTAGCGAGATGGAGGGCCTAGGGTAGCTCGGCCCCTCTCTCTGCCTCTCTCCTGCCCCGCCTCTTGCCTCTCTGCCTCGTGTCTCTCCGCACATATGCCTCGTTCGGCGCTCATCCGGCTCCGGCTATGGCTTCAGCTGGCTCTGAGATCAAAAAGCCTTGACCTCGCCATCCAGCTCGACGGCCTTGACGTGCTCGTTTGATTCCAGTGTGGTAATGGCGTCGTTTGGAAAGGACACGCTGCAAGTTGGGGAAATCGGCCATATTCATTAGCTGGGGCTTGCGCCTTCTGGACGCATGTCTTGCATGTTGCACGAGGCACTTACGCAAAGCCCTTGATCAGGGTGTATTCATGGGTGATTTTGCCGCCTTGGTCGAGGGCATGCTGCTTCGCACTGCATTTATAAACAACCAAGGTCTAGTTAGCCATGTTTACGCCGCCCTTTGATTTGTCTGTTGCAACTTGTCTTGTCTAGTCGTGGGCCAGCACGGAGCGGGGGTTCAACATACGCCTTGATCTGGTCTTCAGTGGCATCGTCTTTGCAGGTAACCTGTCAGGGAGATGGGATACATTAGCCTCGACAGGGTAACCGTTGGGTAGTCTATCGACTTACAATATAGCCGGGCATCTTGGCGAAGGTGGTGGTTGAGAACCGTTGAGTGTAGATGTGCTTGTGGTGACTGAAATTGGGAGATCTAGATGGGGAGTGTGTTGTCGTCACTGTTGTGAGACTTGAAACAACATGCTTACGCCTCGGCCAAGCTGGGTTGGCAGCCAAAGCCAAGGTCTTGAGCCGCCACGGACGTGTCATGTAGCCATGATGTAATGACATCTGGAGCAGCACGAGCATCCAGTCTTTGCACCATCGACACGACTCGACTAGCTTAGAAGCCAGCCTAACATCGGTCAATGGCGCCTTCACTCAAGCTGACCTTCCCTTCAATGCTCCGTACCTCCGTAGCACGGGCCACTGAGACCGAGCGTCCAGTGACGGGCAGGCAATACGAATACGAATACAGTAACGGAGAGTAAGGAGAGTACGGAGTACTCCGTACGGAGTACATACATAAAGCCACAATCGGAGACTAGTACAAAACGGGGCCTGTGCATCATTCCTCATTCAACTGCCCGGCAGGGGCACAGCAATCGGCCAACGCATCAAGCTCAGCATGCACGAAACAGGAGCATCTGCCCACGCCGCCGGGTCGACCACACCACCTCGCCCGCGCTGTGAGACTTCGGCTAAGCAGGCCACTAAAGTATGTAGGTACCTGGCGCGGCGCCTGGACGCGCCGTGCCCCTACTGTCAGGTAGTTTAAGTACCTAGCCGCTCAACCGCCGCGCTGTGCCGTCCAACACGAATGGCAAGTGAAATTATGAAAATGTGAAAATGGCCAGGCACCTTTTGATTGCACCTCCCTCCACCGTCAGGGCCTCCCTCCTCTCCGTTGACAACCATCTGCTGCTCGCGCTCTGCTTCAATTTTACTCTAGGTACCTAGGCAGGTACTTGACGTATCAATTATTTAATAACACACGCTCTTTCTGACCACTCTCTTCCCTACATCCTCTGTCATTCGTTCTCTTCGCTCAAACATTTGCCTGGACGTTTTCTTCTTCTTTGGCTTTGGCACGTCAGAGGGTTTCGGAGGAGGGACCCCGTAATTTAAAAAGAGCCAACAAAATAATACCAAAAAAAAACACAAAAAAACAACCACCAGCAGACCAGGGCCCGCTTCCCGTTCTGCCGTGTCCCCCGACAAGACCCCGGTTCTCTACAGAACCCCGATTATTTTCTTGCGACAACCGATCCTTCTTCTTTCTGCTCCGTCAAACGCTTGCAGACGTGTTAAAAGGAAGTTCGTCGAAATCGCCCATCATGGACGCCAATACATCGTCGTCTGCCTTCCCCTCCATGCTGGCTGGCTCCAAGTATGGCAACATCAATGTTCCTCCCCAGCTAGACATGATCCTCGATGCCGTCACCACTGCCAGCCCCTGGACCATTATCCTGACCATCTTGGCAATGTGTGTAGTCTATGACCAGAGTACGTCTTTTTTCTTTCTTTCCCCCCAGCTATTTAACTTAATTTTGCGCTGTACAATGTCGCCCTCGGGCCATACTACTTTGCGCTATCGAGATGACGGAGCATCGTTGCTAACTTGGCGACCCTGTGCAATAGTTAGCTACCTCATGAACAAGGGGTCAATTGTTGGCCCGGCCTGGAAGATGCCATTTATCGGACCTTTTTTGCAGTCTATGAACCCCAAGTTTGAGGAATACTATGCTAAATGGGCCAGTGGTCCCCTTAGCTGTGTCTCCGTCTTCCACAAGTACGTTTGTGTCCAAATCCAACTGCGCCAACACCTCTCATTTGCCTAGTTGAGTCGGGATTGGTTCTACTACACTGAAAGACACTAACAATGTATTTGAACAACATCACAGGTTCGTCGTCATTGCTTCTACCCGAGATATGGCTCGAAAAGTCCTCAATTCGCCCATGTACGTCAAGCCTTGTGTTGTTGATGTCGCCCATAAGCTTCTTGGACACGACAACTGGGTTTTCCTCGATGGCAAGGCCCACGTCGACTTTCGTAAGGGACTTAATGGTCTCTTTACCCGCAAGGCTCTTGAGTGCTATCTGCCTGGCCAGGAGGAAGTCTACAAGACGTACTTCAAGAAGTTCCTCAGCGTCACCAAAGAGAACAACGGGAAGCCCGTGCCATCCATGCCTGAATTCCGCGAACTGATGTGCGCCGTGTCTTGCCGCACCTTTGTTGGCCACTACATGTCCGATGCTGCCGTCAAGAAGATCGCCGATGACTACTACCTGATCACCGCTGCTCTCGAGCTTGTCAATTTCCCAATTATTATTCCTTTCACCAAAACCTGGTATGGCAAAAAGGCCGCTGACATGGTTCTTGTCGAGTTTGCCAAGTGTGCAGCCAAGAGCAAGGTCCGTATGGCTGCTGGTGGTGAGGTGACCTGCATTATGGATGGCTGGATTCTTCAGATGATTCAGTCTGACCGCTGGCGCGAGGCTCAGGAGAAGGGTGAGAATATGGAGGGCGTGGAAAAGCCGTCGCCCTTGCTCCGCATGTTCTCCGACTACGAAATATCACAGACCGTCTTCACTTTCCTCTTTGCTTCCCAGGATGCTACGAGCAGCGCCGCCACTTGGCTTTTCCAGGTTACCGCTCAGCGGCCAGATGTTTTGGATCGTGTTCGCGAGGAGAATATGAAGGTCCGCAACGGTGACCCTGATGCGGAGATCAACATGGATCAGCTTGAGTCTCTTACCTACACCCGCGCAGTCGTTCGTGAATTGCTTCGATACCGCCCTCCAGTGCTGATGGTTCCTTACCTGGTCAAGAAGCCATTCCCTATTACTGATTCGTACACTGTTCCTAAGGGTGAGTGACTCATTCCCAAACGCGACCTCAACATTTTGTGTTTTTCTGAAAAGCTTAAACCTCTTTATAGGTTCTATGGTTGTCCCTACCACTTACATGGCTCTGCATGACCCTGAGGTTTATGAGAACCCGGACTACTTCGACCCTGAGCGGTACTACTCTGGAGATGCCGAGGTGAAGGGTGCCAAGAACTATCTTGTGTTTGGCACTGGCCCTCATTACTGTCTTGGCCAAGTTTATGCCCAGCTCAACCTTGCATTGATGGTGGGTAAGGCTTCTGTTCAGATGAAATGGACTCACCATCCCACACCGCTGTCCGAGGAGATCAAGGTGTTTGCTACCATCTTCCCCAAGGATGACTGTCCCCTCACCTTTGAGAAGCGCGAGTGGTAAACGACAATAGGCCTGAAGGAACAATAATTAAAAACGATAGGCAAAGCTGAGTTACAGCCGGAAACAGCCGACAGTGTCAGCTCAATTTACCGATTCGAATTGCGAAGCACAATATTGAATCGCACTTGAGTAATGAACCATTGGCATGCATATAGACAAGTTGGTTCCATGGGTCACAAGCGATCTCGCGGATGAATGGGCCAGGACGCGGGAGTTTTGGGGATATCTAATTGTAATAAGTTCATTACGCATTTGTACATAGTTATGCCAGCTCACACTGGTGTTTATTGGATGGCTTGACACTTGATCGGGCCATGGAAGGATAGGGCGGTCTTGATGTAGACTAGCGAATTGTTTATCGAGGTGAACTCAAGTCTGAAGGGGTTTATCACCGTAGTTGAAGTCTGAGGCAGAAACTAGGAGTTCTGGAAGAGGATACACCAGCTCAAATGCTGTGCATATTGGTACCACCATGCACCACCGCGAATCTTGGGGCACCGACATGGTTGTCTGGTCCATGTCCCCGTTGTGCATGTGCACGCCGTCAAGGTCTCCACCAGCTTCTACGTTCCGTATCTGAAGAGTACGTACGTCAGAAGACCACTAGTCCGACCTTGTACGTCCGATTCTCAGAAAGCAACCTACAATTTGCCATCAAGAAGCCCACATCCGAGGGTTCATACCTACTCAAACTTCACAAGGTATGTCGGCCAAATAGGCTAGAGCGAAACAAGATTCATTCCAACCGCCTATTGATCTGCTAGATCTACGGAGAAGGACACCCACCCAATCCCGGCTTGTACCGAGAAGAGCATCAGCATGGCCACCACCCGCCGGCTCATCACGACAGCAGCGCCCGTGCTTCTGCGAAACACGGCTTGGCCGGCTCCCGCTGCGGCATGCAGGGCCATCTGCAGCTCTGCATCGTCTCATTGCGCACGGAATATCCCCGGACACCGGCAGGCCGTCTCTGCCCGATTCGCCGCCGGGAGACGGTGGTTCTCTGCCGGCCGTGAGGATGCTGTGCCCGGAAGCAGGATTTGGTCGTTCGACGAGGTTAAGCAACTGGTCGATGGGAAGCGAGCGTCTGATAATATCGTCATTGTTGGTATGTACAGACCAAATCGTAATGCCTGTCTCGTGTGATGAGGGTGGCCTTTTGCTAACAATAAGGGATCAATGATGCACAGACGTTCGTGAACCGGCCGAACTGCAAACTACCGGCAAGATTCCCGGTGCTATAAATATACCCGTCACATCGGCCGTGCAAAGCTTCCATATCTCCGACGCTGACTTTGAGGATGTACATGGGTTTGGGAGACCCTCGCGCGACAAGACGCTTTTGTTCTATTGCAAGGCCGGCGTGAGGGCCAAGTCGGCGGCGGGGCTGGCGAAGCACGCTGGGTGGGAGAATGTAGGTGAATATTCAGGGAGCTGGCTGGACTGGGAGGCGCAGAAGGGTCCTGTTGAGAGGGTGAAGAGTGGCAAGGGGCTCGGACCAAATTGATTACACAATAGGATATTTTCGTCATGTTAGTAGGCTGTTGAGGCATCTTGGACAAAGGCATGATGGCATGGTATTTAATCCATGGGTGTGTGATTGATTTAGGTAGATAGCGCTTCATATGATGTACAATACTGGCATACTCATCACATCCAGTGTGCGACTTTGACTAGGCACGGCCAACTCTGCTTCTTTTCTTTCCCGTGTCTGTGGAATAAATTCATAATTCCCTTCTGCTCAGCCTCCTCCCCCTTCTCTCCTCTTCTTATAGCTGATAAAGCCTGCCTAGAGTAGAAAGGCTGGCTTGTCATCCGCAGGCACATCATCACCAACAGGCTTCTTTGCGACGGGGCTGTTATGCGCAAAGAAGAGGATCTTTATAGTGAGAGACAAACCGGCATGTAGGATAACAACAATAATCAGAAGAACCTTGCTGACTTGGCGGTCTGTAGCGCTAAGCACGGGATATAAGTTGCGCAGGAGGAAGACAACAGAGAGTCCAAAGCCAACGGCGACAAAGGTCCAATTGAGAATTTCGATGGGCGACCAACTGATAATTGCGACTGGGATCCAAATGAGGTTGGAGTAGCCGTACAGGGCCCAGCATTCGAGGAGGTTGGCAGACTCGCTGCCGAAGTATCGGAGGGCGAGGAAGAGCGCTACGGGAATGAACAGGGTATATCCATAGACCAGGCCGGCGGCGCCTAATAGTAATACTTGTGGTTAGTCTGGGAACTCATTGTGACGCTCAGTAGCTGGCAACCACAGCGTTAAGTGTCAGGGAGAAGAGAGCGCCTAGGCAGGACACATACCGCTCAAGAGTCTGAAGTCATAGGCAAACTGCGCGGTCCCTCTCGTGGACAACCAGTCGCTGATCGTCCCACCCAAGAACAGAATCAACACGACAGTCGTTGCAATCCAGAAAGGGCCGTACAAGTCAGGGTTGCCCTCAAGGACATCGAGAAAGTTTGCTCGAGGATAGAGTGCCGCCCAGCAGCGTGACAGCACGGCCGATGTGTCGACGTCGAAGAACTGCGAGTAGAATGATATAGTCCATAGGAAGCGCTTTGACGACGACGACGCTGATGGGGCCGTGACCGGAGGGGGAAGGCCAGATGGAGGGCCCTTACGGGCACTGTGCGATGTATCGGTGAAGTTGGAGTTGTGGAATTCGAGATCCTCTTGGAGATCAGTGTGACCGAGGTCGCCCTACGTTGATATGTGAGCTGATTTGGAGACCGATTGCTTTGCTACGTATCAAGAGAGGCAGGGGGATCATCAGTTGATCACCTTCACAAAAAGCCTGTGCCTGCCTCAATCGAGGGTTTGAAGAACTATCGCATACCTCGTCGTCCACGTCCACCACGGCGTCGTATCCTGATCCAGACATGATGACAGTATCCTGGATCCCAAGGGAAGATTGGGGGTATAGCTGTCGTTGACTTCTTGGTTATCGACCAGGGTATTAATCAGTCACGCAAGACCAAGATATAGATGGGGAGACTTCGGAAGCGACTGGCTAAAGCAAGATGTTGCAAGCTAGACGCTGTCGCGAAAAGGCTGTCGGTTGCAAATCGGGCGCACGCCGCTGCGGACACATGTGTCTGTCTGTCGTCAGCGAACCAGGGAGTGTGGGAAAGCTCCACGAAGTAAGACCTGCTCCAGTCGTCCAGGAAGACCGGGTTTTACCCGTTGTAACCCCTTGCCTGGGTCTGGCACCTGCACTGGCACTGGCACCGACCTACGGAGGGGGCTAGTAATGCCCCACATCAATCTTGCGGCAAGGATGAGAGCGCCGGATTTCATAGTTGGTGCCGCTTGGAATGGCATTGAGAGAGCCATCTACACGAGGTCTGCAGGTTTACACCATTGTTCCATGACTGATTTTCACAGGGCTGAATCCCTCGTTTGCCCAGCCCCGCGTACAATGCCATACTTGGGAAACCCAGTCACTCATGCAAAAGCCATGCTTCCATTCCCACTACAGCCCATCCTTTTTACTGGTCTCTCAGGGCGCCTGGACGAGGCCATGTCATTGATGCAAAAACTTTCATTCATGGGCACCATCTAGATTGGATTGCCTGAGCTGCAGATGCTAAAAATAGAAACAAAGCCAGGCTCGTCAACCGTGAAGCGCCTTTGTCCTTGCCATCTCCAGAATGCCAAAAACCAATACGCCACATCCATGGGTGAAACCGTTTACTTGAGCTTCTTCTTGGGTCGGAGCTGGTTGGTGTGACCACACTTTCGCTTGCGGCAGTTGGTGGCGCGGGGAGGGAGGCGAGCCTATGTACATTGTCAGTCATAGAACCGCGGAAGAAGCCATCGCCGCATATTTGCGAGCGATTAAAGACGGGATGCAACATACGTAGCACTTGCGGCAAATCATCTTGTCACAGTTGAACTTGGAGGCCAGAGCCTTCAGCGAGGGCTCAATGATACCACCACGGAGACGGAGGACCAAGTGCAGGGTGGACTCCTGTCAAGTCGGAACAAAGCAGCCAGTCAGTCAATCTTGCTTGAGATATAAAACAACCCCTCAAAAAGATTCAAGTAGAAACTTCCGTAATTCTTCTGTTCTCTCGATATTGCATTGCGCATGTGGGACGAACCTTCTGGATGTTGTAGTCGGACAAAGTTCGGCCATCCTCGAGCTGTTTGCCAGCAAAGATCAATCGCTGCTGGTCCGGGGGAATACCCTCCTTATCCTGGATCTTGGACTTGACATTGTCGATCGTATCGGAGGACTCGACCTCAAGGGTAATGGTCTTGCCCGTCAGGGTCTTCACGAAACTGCGTTGCTTCGTCAGTACGAGTCGGTCATGGTTGAAGAAATCCAAACTTGGCGTCACCGAAAATTCGAGCTTACATCTGCACTATTGAAATATGTCAGTACTTTTCAATATGCACACATAGCCTAACCGCAGAAGTTCAAACTTACTCTTGACTGATTTTGTGACGCTGGCGATGGTGAAGATTCGTACAGCCGAGCGAGTCTGCGCGAAGTTGGTGGGGCCAAAGAGCCGATGCAAAAAAAACCCTAGGTCATATGCAAGGTCACGTGAAAGTTTGAGTGGGGACAGCTCTTCTGACATTGACAGAGAGAGGGCATTTTCCAGCACTTGTGGGCCTGGAACGAGGCGGGCATCCTTGCCAGTTGGTTGTCAACAGGCTAACTCTCACTGCTTTTCCTACGAATATCCTGCGGGTATCATTGGTATAAATTTCATGCAACTACGCTCAAGAAGGTTGTTTTTGTGGCCACTGATACAAAAGCTGTCTACCGGATGCTTAAAGCTATCATTCCGTTCATATTTCCTTCCGGTGCTTCTTCTGCCAGGAGACGATCCGTTGCTCCAGCATGTAAATCGCTCGTGTCATGGTGCTAGTCGACAATCCGGCGGCATTTCCTAAGTAGGATTATGTTAGCGCAGTGTTAGAGGACAGTGACAAAAATCTGGGTATACACCAACCTGCTTCTTTATAAAATGCATAAGAAATATCTGATATGTCTTCAACTGTACGGAATGCCTCGTATGTAACCTCTCTCCGTCTACCGTCCATGTTATTCGGTTTAACAGCCTGTGCTAAAATACGACGAGCTCTCCCTTCAATCTTCTCTTCTGGTGTGCTAAACTGCGGCGGTGAAGATACGGCCACCGTTTCGGCTGGGAAGAATTGGACAATTTCATTATAACCTTAACTCATTCATTAGCGCTCCTGTTACAAGTATGGGGTGTATCTGCCGCGTCGACTCACTTCCATGGCCTATGGACTCAGATAAATGCGCCACGTACGCATCGAATTTCTCATCACTCAATTTCGTGACCTGATTTGGTGTGATGTGCTCAAAGTCAACCTGTTCCTGTGTTTCTTTCCCCGATTTTGGGCCATCGCTCGAGAAACCGGTCTTCCAGCTTGCCCAGTTGAATTGAGGTAGACAGCAGCCTGCAGGGTCTAGGAGGGAGGTCTGGCTAGGATCAAGCGGAAAACACATTTTCGTTGCCACGACTAGGAGTGAAATTAACTGGACCTCTGGGTTATCGAGGAAGTAAAGTTTCGCTTTTGATACCGGAAAGTAAAACATGAGGTCCAGAACTGATGCAAGTCGTATTGCTACCGCAATTGCTTCAACTACATTTTGGGTCAACCAGTGCTGAGCCTTACCCATTAAGAAGTGTACACAAACCTGGTAAACAAAGATGTTTTGCGTACTGTACGGCCATGGGGAGATAATTTAGCTCCGGAAACGTCATGTCGTAGTTTAATCGGTACGAGAGAACTGTATCTATGACTGTTCGGTACAAGTCTTCTCCATTCAAACCAGAGCGAGAACACAGCTTCATCATATTGGCATAAGACGAAGGCATTCGTTCTTGAATCTCCCGCGGTAGCTCCTGAAACTAGAAAGCGTAAGGGCCTCGGGAAATATAATAGGTGTTAAATAGAGAAAACTTACTGCGCTCAAGTAGGGCATGCTGCCATTTGAGACCCAAGCATACAGGTCCGCTAGCCTTGTAGGTATTCTTAAGAGTAAGCAACCGAGATAGCATAGCACAATAGTCTCTGTCATTCGAGGCATAGGCCAGTCAGTGCCACGTTCAGGATCCCAATTTTGGGTCCTGGATCGTGAGTGCCAAGACACATTTGTTCCTTCCTCTGTCCGGGTCGACTGGGAGCTGAACATTTCAAGCTCGGTGTTTGCAAGATTTGTTTCTGTGGAATTAGAGGTATACCCCCTAATGCGCAAGTCCCATAAGTCTCTAACGACTGTTTCTAATTCCTCTCTATGACCTTTGCTTCGGATCAGAAACGAGACTTGTTTTCGTAAGAGTAGCTGAACTGCCTCTAGGAACAGTGATCGTCCTTCCTGGCCTGTGAGTTGACGCTTCTCTACCTCTCTTTTTTCCTTCTCCCGTCGAGCTACAGCTCCCATTTTGCCAGCATCTTCTTCATCACCGACGTCAAATTGAATAAACCCCTACCAAGAAAGCTGTCAGTCTCCCCATCCATTTTGGCTATCCGTTTTAAGAGCGCATCAGGAGTGCCCTACCTCTATTTGATGGCCCCTGGCGCAAAATCGCAGCCCATCCTGTAGATACCATTTTTGGCTTCCACATTCAGGGCATCTCTCTCCTCGAGGCATTCTGCGAAGCTCTCGTCGGTCCTCCATATTGACTGACGGGTGACCGAGTGCTCTATATCACTCCAATGACAAAACCAACCCCGTTGCATGAACGTTACATGGGGGGTGAAAATAAAACCCGTACCGGGCTTGAGGACAAGTAGGGTATTTCATGGAGAACGGGAGTGGACAAGAGCTGTGTTGTACGTGCCGCGCAGTTGGCTAATTTGAAGGTGGTTCAGTGGCAAGGTTAGGCCAGGCAAGGTTGGCGTGTGCCTCATCACACACGAGGCATTCTCTCTGCCAATTCACCCACCATTTAAAGTGGGCGCCCACTTTCACACACAACTTGACACTGTTTTATGGCCTTCTATCATCCCTGTTAAATTGCAATAAAGCTCGACAAAGGTGCGGTAACTTTACTCCAACAGTCCAATTCATTGTGGGCCGAAGGGAGAAACAAATCAAATCCGTTTTACAATTCTTCACTGTCTTTGGATGATAAGGAAGAACTTCAATGTACGGTCGTTATATCTCATCTTTCTTTTTTTCCTTTTTCATTTGGGAATGACTTGCCCAGCTGCAACTTCATGCAGTGGTACTAATGGCCAAGAGTCGTTGCGAAACAAAGGAAACATGATTCAGAGCTGTCGCCTCAACTATGGGTGAGTTGACCAGAGCTGCAGCCAGCTAATACAATCCCGTTCATATAGCATCTCTATACTCGTCGACCTCGATTCATCGTCCCATCTACATCTGCACTGCATAGAATCATAACTAATCCCAGTTTGCCTAGATACCATGCGGACGACATTGTCTCAACAAGGGCTGTACAACATTGGCACTGTGCGTGGACTTTTCGTCGATTCAATTGCTGCTTAGGTGCCCTTGGGAGCCTCCTTAGCGTCAATGCAAGCCTCCTCACCCATGGCAGTAAGGATGATAACGTCTACCAAAAGCTGTTAACAAAAAAATTCATACGCCAAGACACACCTGCTTCTAGCAAGAATACTGTTTATAGTTCTTCTTTGGATTGGAGAGAGCAGCTTACTGGTATCCTTCTGTTTGTTGGTTTCGGTTTCGGGGGTGGGGAAGAGCGCATCGAGCTTCTTGACAAGGTCCAAATCATCAGGCTTCTTGACATCGTTCTTCAGATTGCCACTGTCATCCATGAGGGAGAGGTAACCGTCGTCGGAGATGTCGACCTAGCAAGTAGCTTAGTACATTGGCAGGGTTTTGCTGACTTGGGATGAATGGCCACAAGATGTCGGGACGGTAGTAGAAAGGAATTGCTACTCACCAGCTGGTACTCTTTTCGGTTGACGACAGGCACATCCATGTTGTGGGTGGATGGAGACAAATCTTCGTATTTCTTGCCCGTGAAGATATCGGTGGCAACCAAGTGGACCTTGGCGTGACCGTGCTTGCCAGTCTTGGAGGTAGACATTTCTACAATCTTGCAAGGGCGTCCCTTGATAACGACGAAACCGCCCTTGCGTAGAGCAGAGCACTGGCGGGGGTAGGTCGTGGACGCACCGGCGTCGGCGGACTCGAATTCAAGATCGTGCTGCATCACGGAATTTGATCAGTAAAGAACACCAGATGCACCATGCCAGACAAAAGGCGACAAAATTAGCGGCATGATATTGCCAGGAATATCAATTTGAGCACTCCCAGAGATCCTGGTGAGGTTGGTGATGGCAATCGCAACAATATTTTCGGTTTGTGAGTTTCGACGGGTCGTGGGGCATGCGCACAAAGCACCCAGTTCGCAGCGCGAGTCCTCGGCGTCATCCGCAAGGGGGGCACACACTGAGTGCAGCGATGAGGGGGACTGATGCGGGGTGAATTTTTCCCGCCGCCCAGAAGGTCCGCGCAAAAAAAACAACAGCAGCAAAATCAACAATTCCCGTCAGAAATAGTAGCAGCTTACCTCGTCAGCCATGGTGATGAATGCGCAAGAAAGCGGACTTGTGAGAGGCGGGAGGAAAGGGAAGAGGAAGCGATGCCTTTCTAAATTTTTTTCCGGCACTGAAAAGCAGTGATGGTGCTGGACAGTGGGCGGAGGGAAAAAAAAAGAAGAGTCAAGTGTAAAAGTGGGAGGAGAGGGAAGTCAATGTAGAGACGGAGGGGAAAATGGCGTTCCGTCTCAGGTTTTTTCCCTTCTTCGCAGGTGTGATTGGGCCCTGGGGCGGGTCGAGACCAGTTTTTGCATTTGACACTTCTAATAGCTACCTAGGTACGTTAGTAGTTAGCTTCTACTCTGTAGTCATCCAGGTGCCAGCAGAAGCGGACCCCGTTCAGAGTGCCAGCACTGAGACCATATGATCGGGGTCCAGATAAAGCAAGTACCTAATGAGGTGGCTCGTTAGTCGGAGAATCTCTCTTTTATATTTTACATTGCATAAGTTTACCGTTGTATATCCTTACGCCACCCGAAAACCGATTTCATCTAAAGTGTCCTAGAATTTCTCACAACAAACGGGGTCCGTGAGTAGTTGTAGCCCTACCTTAGTACGTTCCAAGGTTGATATACAGAGTGCTCATGTGGTTACTTAAGTAATATCGAACTTACTCGGCGGTGTTCCGCCCCTGTGGCTCAGCCTGGTTCACTCTAGTGGCTTGCATTGCAAATGGGACCAATGAGCGCCTCACAACCTACTGCCGTGACTCCAATCTGTCTCTTGGGCCATCTGTGGAAACGTCGTTGACACAATTGCTGGGAACATCGCGACAAGAAGTGACGACTGATTGCCTAAATACCATGGCCGCCGCCGTATAGAATTTACACAGCGAAATTGGGAGGACTGGCCCTCTAACCTTCAACATGTGGCTTGATAGACTGGCTGGCGGTCCATCAGGCGCGTCAGGTCAGTCAACGCCCCAAGCTGGCAACAGGTCATACTCGCCTCTCCCACGCAGAACGTCGAGCAACCTTAGCCCGTATTTGACGTCTCAGCGGGCTGGTCATTCTCCGCGCAGCTCTTCATTGTCCCTAGCGTCCAATGATTCGTCTACATCGCTGCTCCCTGCGTCGCGACGACTGAATGGTTCTTCATTGCGACATTCATCAACCATCCCGAACCTACCAGACCCGGTAGAGACCCTCGAGAGGCTTCTTCAGCAGCCTGGTCATGTTGAAAACGATGCAGAGACGCAGAAGGCGAGGACAAGCTCCATTGTAGAAGCAGATCTCGACCTCGATTTTGATTTTGGCGGACTTGGATTGAAGGAGCTCGCGTCGTCACACCCTCCTGAGCATGCTATGACAGCATCGCGGCAGCCGCAAACTGTTGAAGAGTGTATGTGACTAGCTTCCTCCTGATTTCAATATTACTAACATTGGACAACAAGACCATCAACAGTGTGCCAAGTTTGAAGATCTCCATAGGTCCATCACAGCTTGTGACGACGTTCTCAACTCCGTTGAAATCAACCTGGCTGATTTCCGGAATGATCTGGCCGCCGTATCCGCCGATATTGAGTCTTTACAAGAGCGATCGGCTGCATTGAATCGGCGGTTGGAGAACCGCAAGGAGGTTGAGAAGGCGCTAGGTCCGCTAGTAGAAGAGCTCAGCCTGTCACCCGAGGTAATATCAAAAATATCAACCGGTCACATCGACGAATCTTGGGCCAAGATGCTCTCAGAGTTGGACCGGAGAACAGCGGCGCATAAGATGAAGACATCCTCTGCATTGCAACACAGCAAGGCGTCTGAGGAACTAGGCCCCCTGTTAGAAAAGCTCACATCAAAGGTATGCTTGACTGCTTGATGGTCATTGTGATAAATGACAGTTTATTGACAATTCATCCAGGCAATTGAGCGCATCAGGGACTTTCTTGTGGCGCAAATAAAGGCACTTCGATCACCACACATCAACGCACAAATTATCCAGCAACAAAACTTTATCCGCTTCAGGGACCTATTTACGTTTCTTCATAAGCATCATGCAACCCTCGCCGACGAAATTTCACTCGCCTACATGAACACAATGCGATGGTATTACCACAATCAATTCAGTAGATACGAGCGAGCCCTAGCGAAGATCAAGATTCATATTCTTGACAAGACAGACACTCTGGGCCATGAAGATACTACGAGAATGACGGCCGTTCTTTCGAGTGCTCGAGCAACGGGGCCTCCGCACGATGTCTTCAATCTTGGACGGCGCATAGACCTTCTTACAACAACCAATCAGGCGGCGATGTCCTCGTATCTGGCCGAAGAGGACCAGGCCACGCATTATCTGGAAGTACAGTTTCGAAACTATAATTTAGCGTTAATCGACAACGCCACAGCAGAGTACACGTTTCTAGCCACGTTTTTTTCACCAGCGTTGTCTTATTCCCAAATTTCGAAAACTTTCAATTACATATTCGAATCTACCTTTGAGCTTGGCCAGACCTTGTCAAAGACCCTGGTGGCTGAGACGTTTGACGCCTTAGGTATTTTGCTTTGTATTCGTCTAAACCAACGCTTTGCGTTTGAGCTTCAGCGACGCAAAGTACCTGTTGTGGACGGATACATCAACGGCACGAACATGCTTCTTTGGCCACGATTGCAGGTCATCATGGATCGACATTGCGAATCTGTTCGTCAATTAACAAACAGTTTACCCAGCAAACCGACCCGATCAGCGGCGGATGTGGCGAAAATGACAACAGCGCCTCATGTTGTCACTCAGCGTTTTGGTCAACTCTTGCACGGATTCCTAGAACTTAGTGCTGATGCTGGAGATGACGAGCCAGTCGTTGCTAGCTTGCGGCGATTACGCTCCGAAATCGAGGCCTTTTTGGCTAAGCAGAGCCTATCATATGGCGCTGATAGGCGTAAGAGCGATCGGTTTCTTTATAACAACTATTCCCTTATAATGACTATTATTGGGGATACATCGGGGAAGTTGGCCACGGAACAGCAGGGGCATTTTGCGAAGCTCAAACTGGCCTTTGAAGTTGACGCATAGCGCTGTGTTGCGGTAGAATCACGACATGCGAAGGAAATATCGTAATATACATGTATTGCAGTCAAAGTAAGCAGGCAGAATTTCCATAACCACTGGGCTGGTGGCATGTTCACAATACAGTCGTTGGTTCAGAAATATGCCAAAGGATAGGGAGGCAGGAACAGGCACAGCGTCATCAGATGAAGACCGTATTAGGTTAATTCCTAAGCCTCTACTTAGGGAGTGGCTGTAAGGGTCATCTTAAACCAGCAAGCATCCTCCGGTCTACAGGAGCAGGCAAATAGTACAAATATGTAATATATCTTCAGGTAAACTGAAAGCAATACACAACCAGAAGATATTTGTATCAGGATTAAAAAAACGCCTGTCAACCCTCTTCAGTTTCCCTGGCTTCTCTTTGCATAAGACAATGCGAGTCCGATTTAAGCTTTACTCAATGTGCGAAAAAGAGACATGACATAGTGAATTGCAGATGGATTTCTCCGCAGATAAAAAGCAACGGCGGCGACAGCTGTGGTCATACCAATGGCTCTGATGGGCCGGCGGTATCTCCAGATTGCCATCGAAATCCTATCCCGTTTCTCCGCCCATCGGACTTCCTTGGCCTGTTCTTCGAAGAACGCACGACCATCCTCAAGGGTTTGATTTGCACATGTCTCGATGTGTCGAGCAGTCTTCAGAGTGCTCGATTTCGATATTCGCCGCCATGAAGGTAAGGACTCGGGTGGAAACTGATCGAACAGGCTGGCGGCGTTTGTTATCAGGGAATCTAAGTCCATGTTGGGCGGTACTTTTGCGAGCATCACCTGCAACATGTCTGGCTCTTCAACATCCAAGATCTCGCTCCTTCGGCCCATGACAATTTGGGCAAACACATAGATGGGGAAGACAGCCTCTCTAGCCAAGAAAACGTCGAATAGCCGTGCAATATCTCCATAAGCCTCAATGTTGTGAGCATACATGGTCAATGTGCCCGCTAGTGCGTAGAATGGTTCTATCGTGGCAATATGTTTGCGCAGTTCGCTATCAGCTTTGGCCAGCAAGTCGGGAAGCAAGCGCAATTGTGCTGTCGTCGGTCCCAAGTTAGGAAGCATAAAGTCTCGGATGCGGAGGACCGAAAGCCTCGCGACTACGCGTGCCCGCCACCCAGGCTGTAATACTAACAGAAATACTTGGCAGATGTCATGAAATCCCTGGAAGTAGCAGAGATACGGGTGGCGGCGTAGTACTTCAACGATTAGGACCAAAAGCTCGGACTTGCACTTGTCAAGTTGTGCCTCTGACTTGTCTGCAGAGAAATGTACGGAGTTAGATGATCAACGGGACCACGGCAAGGGATTGTAGTGGTGAACTAGGGTCGCATTTTGTCATTAAAAGGGATGGGGATAGCAGGAACATACCATTTGGGTAGTATATAAAGGACCTGTTGACATCGAGTTGTACTTGATCTTCATCGCGATGGGGTTCTAGTTGTTCCCAGTCGGCCGCAGCCTCTTGAGCATCGAAGCTTGCATCAACGTCATCATTCATAAGATCCGGTGAGAGTCCAAGTAAGAGAGGCCCTGATATCAAAAATGAGGTAATGACATCTGGTTAGCATTTTATACATGGCTTCCACGGCGAGGCAAACGACGCCGAAACCTACAGGCTAATCTTCGTAGCTCATCGGTGAGGAGCCCGCCTGTGGACTCTGCAAGCGACCTGAGTTTCGCAATGTCCTTCCACTTGCATGCATCACGGACTGCCTCGGCCTTCTCTTCCAATGATTCTTGTGTAGTTCTTTGCTGAGAGTCACGACGGATGGCTGGCCTGCCGCATCGGCCATCAGGGCGAGCCGGTCCCTCGGTGGGTTCTGGATCCGAATGCATGCTCCCGATGGTCATTGTTGCCGTATCCAAGACTCAGGAGTCAGGATGCATGGGCAAGTCGTCGCGTTCTCCCAGCGATGCACATTTGCAGTCAGGTATCAGTCGACGTCGAAGGATCCGATCAATGTTGTTGGTGAATCGGTGGCTGCAGGCGAAGTGCTCTCCCAACGACATCTGGAGCAAACAAGTGGCCTTAACCAGTGTGAGCTGTGACCTGGGCTGGTTGACTGCTACAATAAATTCATGTGTGGTTACTGGTGTTTCAACCTGCCCAAGAAACTTGACTAGTTTACATCTCAGTGCTAGGTTGCTTTGCCCACAGTGCTCAAGTGCCTGGGTCCTTGGCTACATGCGGGAACATGGACCTGGAACATTGAATTTACGGGTCTGGTCCAGCTGCGGCTCCGTTCTCCCAGGCGTCACATGAGACGGCTGCCAGTGTCGAATATCAAGTGTCCGATTCAGAACTGCTAACGATGGATCACAAATGTATATATATGTACCTCAATACGTTAGGTACCTACCTACCTAGGTACTTAGAGGTAGGTAGGTAAGTGAGTAGGCAGGTAAGTACTTACCTACTTTAAGTGAGTAAGCAATCGGTGTTGAGTCTTGAAGTGCTCCACAAGCCAAGACAGATTCTTTGTGGCCTGTAAATATGTCTGGTGGAAATTTTATATTGACTGGAAGCTGAGTAGTCAGGAACCATATATATGTAGGTCGCACACACTGCAGTCCCCGGCGGCAGTGGTGGTGCGGCGTGATCTCCGGGACGTTGGAGCACTTTTGAGGACTGAGGTCATGTAGATCAGTCAACTCTGGTCCATGCCTGAAGGAAGACCCCCATCTGCTGCACCAGGCTGTACGTAGTACTTGACTGTACATAGGCACCACAAAGTTGACCGGTCCAGACATTTGAACATGGCTGCTGTCAAACGCATGCATGTCGACCAGTTAGCGCGGCGGCACCAGACTTCACCGACCACGACCAACCATCAATACCAACCACACCAACTTAGCCAGGCCACAGGTTACCAGGCACGGAAGAAAGAACCGGACATCTGGAGCCCAACAAGCCCAGAAAAGGAGAGAACATTCAAAGCACATGGTCCCCTTGACCATATCTACTCGTCACTACTCAAGACATCGTCGGGTCCCGGGCACTTGCACTTGCACTTGACAGGAGTCGCATTCGGATGGGATCTTGCACTGGACGCCTCTTGCTCCCCCAGTGCTGCATCTTCTCCCGCTCCGCGCGTGCCACCTCTTCCTCTACTCTCTACTCCTCCTCTCTTGGGCTACGGCTTTCGGGAGTCCATCTCGTGATTTGCCCCTCTTGAAATTGGAATACTTGGCCATTCTAGGCAAAATCTGGTTGCTCTGGGCCCGTTGGCTGCATTGCTCGCACGTTCAGTCTCTGCTTGAGTCTCTTACTTACCCTTAGGTGGATACCGTTCATGATCGTCCTCGCGCCTCAAAACCTGACCGAGGTCTTTGTTTCCGTCACGAAAACGACCCGTCTCGTTCGAATAAAGCACGCGCTGTAGCGCAATTTAGCTGCGTGTACGGGCCGATAAGAATTATCATGCTTAGGCATTAAGATGCTTCCTTGGCCCAGCAACGCTTTCCACGTTTCACCACACTTCTCCATGTTCCTTCATCCGACAAACGGCACTCTTTCAGGTTCTGCGTAAGCCGAGAAAAACTGCTTCTCCTCGGATTCATACGGTATTTCAACGTCCATCTCTGGCGATTGTCATGATAGGAACGACATGGCATTTCAAACCAGCATTCTTCGGGACGGCGAATGGGTGACCGAGACTGTCAACCTCCAGGCTGCTCTGAAAGCATCTACGACTCCAAAATCCGCTGCACGGGCTCACCCGGAGCCACCAAGCTGTGGAATCTTGTCCAGGACCATAGTAGAAAGCCCTGTAGTTCACCGGATTCTTCCTGTTCGTTTGAGATCCGAGACTCACAACGACATAGCTTTTGTCGGAGTAAGTCATGTCAAACCCTCGCTTCCGCACTTTTTTGCATTCCGTGTGCGACTGCCTCTACGTACGGCAAGGCTGTGTTAGCATACGCATTTTCAGATTGGTGGCCGAACTAGGGTCCGGCCTTAGCAAAGAGGTTTTAAGTACTTGGGGATGTTTGTACTACGCTCTGCGGCTCTTTCCTCCTTCTTGGACGATTTCGTCCATGGCCCGTCTGCAATCCGCAGTTGAATGGTGTGCTTGTATCTACATCTCTAACATTTTCAGTAGGACCACTTTGTGCAAATAAGCGAGCTTAGGCGAGATGGACAAGTTCACGAGGTTGTACGAAAAAGTGATTTTGGCTCCAGGATCCGAGGGGCTGCTGTGATAGGAGACTCCCTCCAGCATGGATTAGATGACGATGACCCTGCCGACATGGTTAAAAGCGAGGACCAAGACATTCTCATGCGAGACTCCCTCGACACTGGCCTTGACTCCCGCCACCTATTGCCACCGCAACTACTAGTCCTGATACTAGAATCTGGTGATACCATGTTTACGTTTCTGCGGGAAAGGCAAGACTCAACTTTGGAATTTGTGTTTAATAAGCGAGAAAGTCCCAAGAATCTCTCGTATCTTGGATATCACATATCCGTTGATCCATCATCACGGTACATGGCCGCAGCTTCGCCCGACGGAGTCCTCGTCATATACGAATTTGAATCAATGGCCGGACTTAACCAACAATATCGCCAACAGGGGTTTTTCGACCCTGTCAAATCAATTCGGATTCGTGCTATACAGGGTGTAATTCATAAATTGGAGTTTCTGTACCCCCGTCCAGAAGATGACTATCATATCATTCTTCTACTGATTGTAACAAGAAGGGAAAGACGCTCCGCGGAACCGGTTTCCCGAATGGTCACCTACGAATGGGAGGTAGGGGACAATCTCAAAGAAATCTTTGCCGAAGAGAAAGCTGGCAACAGGCTACCTAAGGAGCATCGAATGCCATCTCTTCTCATACCCCTTCGATTCAACACGGCCTTCTTCGCGGTTTCCCAGCCAGACATTGGTATCGTGAAGAACTGCCTTTCTGGCTCTCCGGTGTTCGAGGTCCTCGATACTGATACACCTGGGCGAACGCCTCTCCATCACGGCGCGGACAAACCACTTTGGACGGCCTGGTCTAGGCCATTCCGAAGAAAGAAATATTTCGAAAAGACTGACATTATTTATCTAGCTCGCGAGGATGGAGCCATCATTCACGTTGAGATCGATGCTCCGGAGTTGGTCCCTTCTGTTACCAATGTGGGCTGTCTCAACACCAACATCAACACGGCTTTCACTATTGCGTACGATGTTTTCTCCGACGTTCTTATAATTGGTGGTGATTCTGGCCCAGGCGGCATTTGGAAGGTACGAATGGAGCAGAGAGGATACCGCTTCTCTGCGCCTCCCCCCTTCTCAAAGATTATTTGTGCGCTAATAATTTCGATGTATTTGATATACAGCTTGCGCCTCGGACCGACCTTGAACAAGTCAGTGTCTTACCCAACTGGTCACCGGTTGTCGACCTGGTTACCTCCAGCGGGCGTCCACTCAAGGCTTCGAGCGCCTTGGAACCCCGAAATACGAATTTAAGAAGCGCTGAAATGAACAACCTACCCTCAAAACCGGAAAGCCTGTTCAGTGCGTCTGGTCGCGGCATTCGGGGTAATTTAACCCAGTGGAGATGGGGCATCCAAGGCAGGATAGGTCTCGATATCGAGACCGGTGAACCTATCAGGTGTTCCTGGGGGTTCTCAATGAGCGGCCCGGAAGGTAACGGATTGTTTGGCTTGCTTGCCTTGCCTGATTCCTCCATATTGCTTCATTTCTCTAGTGACTTCAGTCAGGTAGATGCAGTACCACCCGACAGTACCGCATTTGACTTGACGTCTCGGACGTTGCATGCTTGCCAAGCCCAGTCTGGGCTCATACTTCAAATTACTGAGTCTTCCGTCGCCCTATTATCAGGCTCTCGAACATCACTTCACCCTCTGCAAAGCATACTCGGGATAGTTGGTGCTTGTGCAGAGAATGCTTTTTGCGCTGACGACATTCTTGTTCTCTCCACGCACAACGATGGGAATTCTCAGTTGCACATTTTGCAAATTGAAGAGATGAGCATCCGAGCCGTCAAATCTTGGGATATTGCCGGCGAGGTGACATGCGTGTCCCTCTTCAAAACAGCAGGCAATTATTTTGTGATTAGCGGCTCCGTTATTGACAGCACCTCATGGGTCTTCGCCTATGCCCTGGATGGCACCATCATAGTTGCTGAAGCTGTTGACAAAAAGCGAGGTAGGCAAAACAGAAAATCTCGACCCTCAAAACTGATGGCCAAGGCGGCTAATTCAATCTTTGTACATTAGTCGGCCCTTGCGGCTTTGAAGCCCCAAGTGAAGCACAGCCGTTTGAGGCCCTGACTAGCATTTGTGTCGTACGGGAAAGCTCGAACTCTGCTGAGCTTGTTGCTGGTACACGGTGTGGACACTTATTGAATTTAAGAATCTCGGATCAAACTTCCGAACGCGTTACCTGGAACAGTGAAGCTATGGGCGTGGCCCCCGTCGATGTGTTTCCAACACACGGCCTCTTCGACGGCGATTTTGCAGCCATGGCTTGCTGCGACAACAATATCACCATGATGTCGAACTTTTCAATGTCGAGCCTCAAGTTTCAAAAAAAGCATTTCATTTGGCTGACAGACTCGAACGATGCCTCGATGCCGTCACCACCCATTCATTCCGTGTTTGGCCTTGGTCTTAGCTTATCTGGCTACAGTGGTCACATGTCACTGATGCTCCTTGCAGGCTCTAGGCTTCTTATTGCAGAAATATGGCCACACTACTCTCTGGTCCCCAGGAGCCTGCCCTTAAACGGTTCCCCTACACGTGTCATATTCTCGCAAGCGTGGAACTGTTTAGTGGTTGCATTACTGAAGGACGGTAAATCTACCTTGGCATTCATTGACCCTGACAGTGGTATGCATCTTGCATCTGCTTGTGACAAGGATAGAAACGCTTTGGAGTTCATTTCGGGCCTTGGCCACCCAGGAGACAGAATTTATGGTCTTAACGAATGGTTGTATGTGAAAGACGGCAAGACTTTTGCTTTTCTCTTGGTGACGACGAAAGAAGGCAGGCTGCTTATCGTATCAGTAAACAAATCGGAATCTCGCACCGGTGATGGTGGCGGAAAACGATTGCAATATTGGACTCGTTACAAGAAAGTGATGGCCAAGCCTATATACTCTATTGTTGGCGACAACGACGGAATCATATTTTGCGTCGATAAGACTATTCACTGGGATGTCCTGGATCTGACAGAGAAGAAACTGCGGCCCATGAAGCAGTATGACGTTGATTCTCCTGTAATATCTCTTCGAGTGTTCAACGGCAAAATTTTTGCGCTGACTACTATGCATTCCCTTGAAGTAATTGACCATAGGGCGGGAGAAGACAATCCGATGTCTCTGATACATACGGATGCTATATCGAGGACAACTACTCATATGACGGATATTGGAACAGACGGGCGGGAATCCGACGTTGTTGGCAGGTGGCCAATTACCATGCTCTCTGATCATAGAGGAGGGCTTGTGGGCGTATGGATTCCATGGGGCCAAAGAGACAAGGAATTTCAGACAATTTTTGAAGCAATACTGCCCAATTCTGTCCGACGATTTACCCACGCTAGGAGCCGCCCGCTGTGGTTAGGGTCGGAGACACGGAATCGATATGGCGTCGTGGCCAGCAGCAAAGAAGGATCTGAGGTATTTGGGGTTTCTCTCGACGGCTCACTACAACATTTCACATTGGTAAACTTAGAACTATGGCGAATTCTGAGCCTAGTCCAAATTTTGGCACAACGGAATAGGTTGTTTAATGCCATGGGTGGACCTCCCTCAGATTCGGACAGCGCGGGGTCAGAGGACGACGTTGATATTGAACCGCGCTTACATCCAAAGCTAATGCACATTGACGGTGACATGTTGTATCGCTGTCTGGAAAACCGACTTCTCGAGAAGCTTGTTGGGACAGCTGACGGGCTGGATCTATTTTGTGAGTATCTCGATGGTCTAGATGGTGGCCGCTGGACAGACAGGTTCAGGGACGGCATCGGGAACTCGGAGGAAAGAGAAGCTGCGTACTTCAATTTGGGATACGATATTCTCAGTTATATTTTAGCCCCGGCTTTATAGGACGCTATTTTTTTTTTTTTCCTTTTTTAAAAACAAGTGTGGCAGCGGCCTATATCTGTTTCTCGTTCTTGTCTTTATACTACGCATTGTAGAAGTTGGGTTTGGAGGGCGATTGCGATTGAATCAAAGAATGGCGTTCTATCAACAGGGTGGCACGCAGGTTTGCGCCCTGCGTTCGCTCGAAAGACGAGACAATGAAACAACGGCATAATTTTGTCATGTGTCTAATGGCAAAAATGGACCTCAGTCACTAAATACCTAGGGGCTCTTGGGAACGAATCTAGATGGAGGAATTCTCACATGTCGTCCCCCGAGGGCAAATTCTCGTCGACTTTCGATACTCGATCATGACGAGTAGAGGTTGACAAGTGTGGGAAGATCAATCGACGGCTTCTGCCCCGCCAAAAAAAAAAACATTCCAAGAACACAATCTCAGTACTGGTACCTAAAATACCTACTAGGTACAGGTTTGCAGCTTGCGTGCCCTGCCGGGTGCGGCTTCTAACAGTAAAGTCTGGTTAGTAATACCGCCTACTAAAGTACTTAAGTAGGCGACATAATTCGAGTGCAACTGCCTGGGTTGTCGCCTCGGAGTCTGCCAGGCATCCATGATGTCAATTGATGTGTGGAATAGTAAGGTACAATTTACTCCCGGTACGCACCATAGGTAGGAGGTACCTACCTATTCTGGTGACAGTCTCCTGGCTCAGAAGTTATGATAATAAGACAGCTCATAAGAGTATTATTGAATATATCAGACTTTTATATTGTCTTGTGATGGTTGTGCTGTCACCAGGACCAGGACCCGCGCGCGAAGGAGGTAGTTAGTGAGGTAGTTAGTACTTATGCCTGAGCCTACCACTGTCTGTCAATTGACAGGCCTGGTCCACTAACCCTCAGTTCAACACCAGTCATGATTGACCCCTCCACCCTCCCCTCCTCCACCGTCCACCGTACTAAAGTTCCAAAGAGTGTCCCGCTTGTCACAGGGAAACCAAACCAAACACCCAGGTAGGCGTCACCAAAATTTTTCAGGGTCTTCTCGCGCCGGCCCAACCACGCCTTGGTCTTCGTCTTGTCGCAGACTACTATTGTTATTTATTTTATTTTATTCTATTTTCTTTTCTGTGCTCTGGTGTCCTACGGCGCTCTGAAACTGCACGAACCCACCGAGATGCCGCCAAAGAAGAAGGGCAACAAGAAAGCCCAGGACGACTGGGAAGCCGATCTGGGTGAAACCATTCCACCCCATGCCACCGAGCCGAATGACACTGCTGCTGATGCCAATGCCGATGCTGATGCCAACGGTGATGATGCCACCGGTGGAGGTGGTTTGATGGCCATGCTACGAAAGAACAAAGAGAAGCGAAAGAAGAAGGGCCTGGCAGACGACGACTTGGTTCAAGGCGAAGACACCCCTGGTGCCGTCTCGGCAGAGCTGAACAGCAAGGCACCACAAGAAGCTACCTTGGAGGATGAGTTCGCGCTGCCTGAAAAGAAGGGTAAAGCAGCCAAGGGAAAGCCAGCGGCCAAAAAGGGCGAGCCCGCCGATGATGATGAAGATGAAGATGATGTCAACGGTGGCAGGATTCTCACCAAAGCCGAAAAGGAAAAGTTGAAAAAGGAGCGCGAGAAGCAGCGTAAGAAGGAACAAGTATGTCTTTTATCCGCATGTCAAAGGCTCTAGCTTGTGCCCCCTTCTCAGAGCAAGGACCCTATGTCACGTCAATTCTGCGGCTTGCTAACGCCTGTAAACTTTCTCTTTTTCACATTAGGCCGCTAAGAAGAAGACTACTGCTCCAGCAAAGGCTGCAGAACCAACCAAACCAGCATCTCCCCCCAAAGATGCCATCGCCACCCCAGCTAGCCTGGCGCCTGCCACTGGTACGGAGGCGGGAGGAAAAAAGAAGAAGCTTCCTGCCCATCTCGCCATGCTCCAGAAGCAGCAGGAAGAGCTCAGAAAGAGGAGAGAAGAAGGAGAGCGTATGCAAGCCGAAGCCAAAGCCCGTGCTGAGGAGGAAGAAAGACTTGCTGAGGAGGAGATCAAGCGCAGAGAGGAAGCAAAGGTTCTCAAGAAACAAAAAGAAAAGGAGAGAATTGAGCAGCTGAAGAAGGAGGGCAAATTCCTCACTAAAGCCCAGAAAGAAGAAAAAGCCCGAAATGAGCGGAAACTCCAGCAAATGTTGGCCGCAGGCATCAAGGTCGGGCCACAAGAGTCATCTGACGAGCCAAAGAAGAAGGTGGTTTATGACAGCAAGAAGAAAAAGCCCAGAAACGAGAAAGTGAGTGTGATCCCGTCTCGTGTTAGAGTGTCGAGTCTCTCATATCGCGGAATATGTGCTAATTCTATTCTAGGTCGATGAGGACGCAGCCCTTGCGGAAGCTGCGGAGAGAGCTCAGCTACAAGCCGAGAAGGCGCTCAAAGAAGCCGAGGAGAAGGCTGCTCGCGAGAAGGCTGAGGCAGAGGCCAAGGCTGCCGCAGAGAAGGCTGCCGCAGAGAGTGATATTGAAGATGACTGGGAAGCCGCTGCTGCCTCAGAAGACGATGTCAAGGATAGTTGGGATGCGGATTCCGAGGACGAGGAACATGCAGCTGCTACCAAGACGAACGGCAAAGGCGACGCCAAACCCAGGGCGGAGAAGGATGGAGAAGGGGATGACGACGATGACGATGACGACGACGAGGATGATCAGTCCGAATCGGAAGACGAAGAACTCTCAGCTGCCAAACAAGCAGAAATGCAGCGCAAGAAGGAGGCTGCTGAGAGAAGGGAAAAAGCCCATCAAGCTGCCCTGGCAGCCCGATCCAAGGACAACCTGCGGTCTCCTATTTGCTGTATTCTCGGACATGTCGATACCGGAAAAACCAAATTGCTCGATAAGATACGTCAAACCAATGTCCAGGAAGGCGAGGCTGGTGGTATTACCCAGCAGATTGGTGCTACATACTTCCCCGTCGATGCTATCAAACAGAAGACTGCCGTAGTCAACCCGAACAACGAATTCGAATTCAAGGTACCCGGTCTGCTCGTCATTGACACGCCTGGTCACGAGTCCTTCTCCAACTTGCGGTCCCGTGGTTCATCTCTTTGCAATATTGCCATCCTAGTAGTGGATATTATGCACGGTTTAGAGCCTCAGACCCTGGAGTCTATGCGCCTCCTTCGAGACCGTAAAACTCCATTCATTGTTGCCCTCAACAAAATTGATAGACTTTACGGGTGGAAAAAGGTTGATAATAACGGTTTCCGCGAGAGTCTGGCTTTGCAAAACAAGGCCGTCCATAATGAGTTCAAGAAGCGATTGGAAGAGACCAAACTTGCGTTTTCTGAGCAAGGCTTCAATTCTGAGCTCTTTTACGAGAACAAGTCCATGTCCAAGTTTGTATCCCTGGTACCTACGTCTGCGCACACCGGAGAAGGTATCCCTGACATGCTGAAACTGATCGTGCAGCTCACTCAGGAGCGCATGGTTGGCTCGCTCATGTATCTTTCCGAGGTCCAGGCTACTGTTCTCGAAGTCAAGGCCATCGAGGGTTTTGGTATGACCATCGATGTGATTTTATCAAATGGTATTCTTCGGGAAGGCGACCGAATAGTGTTGTGTGGCACAGAGGGTGCTATCAAAACAAATATCAGAGCCTTGCTAACACCAGCACCCCTGCGTGAGCTGCGCCTGAAGTCTCAGTACGTGCACAATAAGGAAGTTAAGGCTGCATTGGGTGTCAAGATCAGTGCCCCTGGCCTTGAAGGCGCCATTGCTGGCTCTCGACTAATGGTTGTCGGCCCTGATGATGACGAAGAAGATATTGAAGACGAGGTAGTGGCAGACCTGGCAAGCCTGCTCAGCAGAGTTGAAAAGACTGGTCGGGGGGTTAGTGTCCAGGCATCTACCCTTGGTTCCCTGGAAGCCTTGCTGGACTTCCTGAAGGACTGTAAGATCCCTGTTGCAAATGTTGGAATCGGTCCCGTTTATAAACGAGACGTTATGCAATGCGGTATCATGCTGGAAAAGGCACCAGATTATGCTGTTATGCTTTGCTTTGATGTCAAGGTAGACAAGGAAGCACAAGTGTATGCTGAAGAACAAGGGATCAAGATCTTCACTGCTGATATTATCTACCACTTGTTTGACTCGTTTACCAAGCACATGGACGAAATGTTGGAGAAGAAGAAGGAAGAATCCAAGATGTTGGCGGTTTTCCCTTGTGTCCTCAAGCCTGTCGCTGTGTTCAACAAGACCAGCCCCATTGTCATAGGTGTTGATGTTGTTGAAGGTCAGCTCAAGATCAACACGCCAATTGCCGCTGTCAAAACGAATTCAGTCACAGGCGCCAAGGAAATCATCAATCTTGGCAGAGTGTGAGTTGAACACAATTCCTTGCTACTCCTTGCCTCCGCCCTCATTCAAAGACCTTTTTTTGGGGGGGGGGGGGCAAAAAGGGGGCTGGACTATATATCGTTATGAATGCTGACGTCTTTCCATCTAAATAGTACCTCAATCGAGCGAGAGCACAAGCAAATCCCTGTTTGCAAAAAAGGCCAGCCATCGGTTGCGGTCAAGGTCGAAATGGGTGGACATCAACCCGTTTATGGCCGACAACTCGAGGAAGGCGACGCTTTGTACAGTCTGATCTCCCGGGCTAGTATTGACTGCCTGAAGGAGTTCTACCGCAAGGAAGTAGCTACCGATGAATGGCAACTAATTATTAAGTTAAAGCCACTTTTCGACATCAACTAATAACCTGGACGGTTAGCCCGTTTCCAGATAGGCAAGTTCTGGGAGAACTCAACTACAGAACCTGAAAAGCGGCTGTATTTCTTGATTTTACATCGATGTGGTACACTAAACGTACAACATCGGCCAGAAACATCGCGAGCGATGATGGGAAAAAAAGAATGGTCAGTTATGTTGTATTTCTCGAGCTCATTTCTTAATTCTGGCAATTGTTTCCTGGCAGATGGTAGGGGTAGCAGCAGCAACAAGATACGGGCGAGACA